GCAGAGATCCAGCTGACGGGAACCCATTGTAGTGAAATGGCAGCTAATTTCTTGGGGCTTCATGATTACCTGAGTGATACGGAATTCCAGTTTGGTCAGAATGCTTGTAAATGCATTGAATGCAGGAAGAAACTATGTGAAAATGCAATTTGGCAGGTTTTCCTGGAGTTGTCGTCTTCATACCAGTTCATGGTTTGCTTTTCTGTCCAATTTTAACCTCGTTTCTTTGACATTTACATCAATCATTGCCCTGGAACTGAGTTTTAGAGCAGTGATAGTGTCTAGCGAATTGGCTAATAAAACAGCATGTATTATTCTGTTCCACTCATTATAAATTAACCTAAGTGGCTGCTGACTGCTCCGTGTGTAGGAAAATGCCTGAGGTAAAATGAAGAACTAAATCTGTGTGTATGGAGAAGGCCAAAAGAAAGTGTAAAATGTTGGAAATCAGCCCCATGTTTGGCTCTAACCTCTGCAGTTATAGCAGTATATGAATTAATTGCCTAGCCATCTCCTCTAGCACCCTTCTGTGTGAAATCCCTAACATGCTGTCAATTATTTATGATGCTACATTTTGCATGCACCCGCCTCTGTGTTTTGTCTTCAGTACTTGTTTATCCTGGATTCTTCAAATATTGGTTTATTCTCAGGGGGCTATTTCTATGAACTACCTTGTTAGGTTAATCTGGGGTTTGTTCCATGTTTTTTGGTATCTGTCTACATATTACAGAAAGAGAAAAGAGCAGGGGATAAAGGGCATAAATAAGGTGCTTGAGTTGAATTGTTTTCTTACCTCACTAATAAGGTATGTTTAGGTCTCATAAATACAATACTCTTGCATGATTCCTCTGCAGCTCAAAACATGGGGCATCAGCAAAACCAATATCAGCAAGCTCAGATGCAAATAAGAAAAATGATGCTAGGGTTGTTTTTCATTCTGTTTTGTTTCTCTAATTAGTTTAATGCTTATGAAATATTCTCATGGGCCTGAGACTTCCTAAGCTAGTACTGCAGTTGAACTGTAGAACAAAGACCATATCACTGTGTGCAATTTGTGACTCAAATTTATATTTACCAGCATTACCCTATCTTCATTTTTCCAGCATTATGTATTCTGCTAGGTCTATCCATTTTTACTCATGTCTCCTCTTTGTATCATCTACATTTTTACTATGCACTGTTATCTTTGGGTGTTTTCTTCCTTTTTTTTTCTTTTTTATCCCAATCCTCACCTTTCTGCAAATAGTGGGATAAATATTAAGACACATAAAACTTTGTGCATGTAGATACATAGACATTAGCAAACCTAGTGGATTTCAGAAAGCCCTTAACTCTCCCACATATGCCTCAGTTGCAATACAAGTAAACCAAAGCATCCCACTACTCCATAAGCCTATATTAGAGAAAGGTATAGGTGTATTTTAAGTCTGATGCTTAAACCACTGAGATATGTCATTTGGTCCCCATGTGCTGAAATAGTTCACTTAATGGAATGTCATGCTGTTGTTGCCTTCATCTCTTCTGTAATGCACAGAAATTGGAGACAAAACCTGTATGTGAGAGCAAGGCTTATGTGATCAAGTAAATCTTTGAGTCTAAATATGGGAGAGAATTGAAGCTGTTTTATTTTTATCAGGGTAGCTATAGGTATCATGCATCAGAAGATATAAATGTTTTGGTTTTTTTTAATCAAGCAAAATCTGCATGTGTCTGCAGTAACATTTCAGACAAGATGTGTTGCCAGGACTATAGCCAAACTCTGGGGCACTGAGGAGACAACAGATGAGTTGTCTGGAACATCTTTGCTTTTCTGTCCTGGATCACCAGAAAGAAAAGGCAATAATAGATGGTTCCAGGAAATCCCAGAGGCCGAAGCTAATAGGATGAATCTTGCAAAAGCTAATGAAATCAATTACATTTTTTAGCATCATGCCAGGCACTGATACACGTTCACCCGGCTGAGAAATGAGTGTCCATCAAAATGCTAGTACTCATCAGAGCTGCCTGAAAACAGCAAACAGTGCATGCAGGTACCCTGCTGACCAGGAAGCTGTGGAAGCCAAGAACTGGTGTGTGACCTCATTTTCTCTCAGGTGGCTGAAACGGTGTCAGATACCTTCAAGTAAATCAAATAATATGTAAATCAAATAGCAATGTCTGCCTCAACTTATGAGGGCATTATATATTCTGTGATCAAGTTGAAAATTGGTTTAGCCAGTCAGACTGAAATGACAATTTCCTTCAGCATTCTTTGAGGTTTTCCCCAGGTTGAAGAAAGCAAACTGCTTCTTCCCTATGATCTTGCTGACACATGTCTGGACAGCCTGAGGAATTGTACTCATGAAACTCCTGTCATTCTGTCAATGTGTTCTTCATTGTTTTCCTAACTTTTTCTCACACGTGGCTACTCAGAGGTTCTAGAAATATGTCAGATTTGCAAACCAGTAAGATAAATTGCTGAGAAACAACTCTTCCTTCTATGTTTTCTTAATGATATAAGCACCAGGCAGTAAAAGCAGAGGATATATATAGGCAACTGCAAATCTTTGAGAATCTGTATGAATGTTCCAGATGTGTTGGAAGTGTTTGATACACCATAACATTTCATTGTAACTGTGGTTTTTATACACTTTTCCTCTTCTTGTATATAAAGCAGCTTCACTTTCCTCCTTCAAACTATGCACATTGTTTTTGCTGCCTGAGGGAATTATGGGTTTTGTGCCATGCAGAGTCTCTCACTTAGGCTGGGTGCTTTTCTCAAAGGTCCTGTAGCTCAGGCTGGAGTGGTGAATTTCTGAGTTCTGCTGGGGGTTAATTCTTTATAGCCCTGTTGTCCGTTCTGGATGAGAACCTGTGATTGCTCTTTTTGGAATGTGTTCTTCCAGCCAGCCTTTACTTTCTGGTGCTGGACCTTCAGACAACTACTGACCTCATACAGCTGTACAGTTCCCTATATGAAAATAATTTGTCCTACATGCTGCTGTTAGGAAAGGTGATGGGCTCCTGTGTGATATTCTGAGACATCCCAGTGAGATATCATTGTATCCTGGTCTGTTTTCACCAATCTAGGTCCATGTTATGGGTATTTGTATATGCACATTATTCACATTCTGTGCTTTCTGAGCACAGCAATGTTTTTCTCAAAGGTACTTTTCCTCCTCATTGTTTCTCCTTTTCTTGCCTTGTGATTTGTTATACCACTCTGTTGTCTGAAGGAGGAGTAAAGTTTAATTTTGAGCCAGTACGTTCTTGAATTTTCATAATTTGCAGATATGCTGATTTTACTGCTTGAGGTATAAATAAGAATAGAGTCTGGCTCTATACAAATTTTGGGTGTGTGCCCAAGATCCGTGCTGGATTGGTCCTGTGCAAATCTATTTGGGTTTAAATGTTGTTTTCCAGTGGCTTTAGGAAGTTGGCTGGCCATCCGCTGGCAGCATGGAGCAGAGCCATGTTTGCCCTCTGCTTTCTGAGGTCCCCTTTGCCTCTCCAGCTCAGTGAGAGCTGAAAAAGCAAGGGGCCGCCTGTTTGACCCCTTGGTGAGTACAGGTTAGGAAGAATACCTTAATTCCTCCCCAGTCATTTGGTTTGGTTACTGAAAGAATGTCTGTTGGCTCCCAAGGAACAGGTGTTTTTAGCCAAAGCAGGAAGATGTTGATGTAGGATGTATGTTTGCTTGGCTGGTGGTGGTCCTCAGGTCTGTGCTTTCTGTACTTGGGGTGCAGAAAATAATGCTTTTATTTTTTACCCTCATGTGCATTCAGGACACACCAGGAACAGGCAAGGTGCGCAATTACCTTGAGTAGCAGATCAGTAGAGGAGGGAAAGTGTGTTGAAATATACTGAGCTAGAATAAGAGAAGCTGACATACACACAAGAAACAAATATAGTAATGAAGAGTCATGGCTGGTTTTTGTTACTGATTTGTATCTTTGACCTTTTCTTTTGCTCCTCTCTGTTCCTGTGTCCCCACAAATAAGTGGGACTGTAGACAGCTGAGAGATCTGGTTTTGATGCAAAGCTTTTTGGAATTGCTGAGCTGAAGGGAGGAGGATAGCCAAGGATGTGTCTGAAGCTAACCGTACCAGTTTACTGTCTTCTATATTGCAGTTGAACCCTGATGTCAGTAAGGAGCAAATCCAATGGGCATGGCCTATGTAGATTTTGCACATTGTGCAGTGTCAGTAGAGTAAAATAAAAAAAGGCAGAGATTAAAAAATAGTCATTTTTAGAGGAAGAAGTTTGTTATTTTTTTATGTCATTTCCCTGCTCTATCCAGGACCAAGAAAGCTCCTTCCCCAGAGTACTTTCTGTTCAGAGGCTCTCTCCTAGATGGTGCTTCCTAGACGGTAAGTGTGTCTCCCTTCCCTTGTGCCTAGCATGCTGCTTGCTTCTGGTGGGCATGTGTAGGGTAACACACTCAGGAATATCACCATGGAGGGGTAACTGTTCCTTATTGTTACACTGAGTGGGTAAAAAATGGGGCTGGGTCCCCCCTTTTCACCTCTGAAAAATGAAACAGGCCCTTTGTCTAGCAATCATAATGTCTGCTGTAGCTCTGTCACCCCAAGGAGGCACGATCTTCTAAGGGTGGTTAGCGGTTTGGTTTATTGGTGTCTCTGCTGTGATGAGCAGCACTTACTGCATGGCACCGCCTGGGCTCAGAGTGCAGCCCACTGTGGCAACACGCTACTCCTGGTATGGCTGCGTTCTTCACTCTGGTTTCAAGTTAATACTGTAGTGTTTAGGTACTGTAGTGTTCAAGTGACAGAAGTGCACCTCCCTTTCCCTGTAAGAATGCACTTCGTGAAACTCCCTGGAGAGCAGCACTTGTATTTGACCCAGACTTTGTCAAAGCAGACGGCTTATCTGGGGCTTCACATCAGGCTCCAGAGCATTGGAATTAGCAGCTAAAATGGATGGCATCTGTTTTTGCAAAAGCTTCAGCATGTGGGGACTGAAATTTTTGTTGTTATACACAAAAACAATTTCTCCTTGACAATTTCTAATCACTCTTCCTTGTCTCTCATGAGGGAAAATGATAAAAAGCATATTGAGAATCTGCTTGGGTTTTGGAGAAAGCTGGGTGGGTACATGAATTCAGTTTTTGTCTTTAGGGATTTGATATTCCCTTGCAGTGCCAAAAACTACAATGCTGCATCTCTGTGCTCTTGTGTCGAAACTCCAGAATGAACGAACCTGATCTCACTGGCCAAAGTAAATGCAAAGCAGAAACAACAAAATCCCATTTGATGAATTGCATTGTACATGATGAAATACCTCTGGGTTTAGTGATACAAATTATTTGGCAGTGACATTATTCATATTAGGTGCTTTATTTAGTGCATTTCCTCTATTTTCATCTGTTTTTCATGAGTAACATAGATTTTCCTTGGGGTATTGGTAATTCAGGGTGAATATCTGTGGCCACACATTTGATTTACAAAGAGCTCCCGAGCATGTTATTGTTCTTTAGATTCAAATTTTGAATGAATCCTATTAGAGCCATCAGTTTCAAGATCTGCTTGCTATACCCTCATTGAACAATGAAGCCTTTTCTGTCACATTTTTAATGTAATCAATTCTTCTTACAAGCCTGAAATCCATTTTATACGCTTTTAAAAATATTTATTTCAAGTCAATAATTTCAGTGAATATTGTTTTGTTAAGCCTCACCTTTAAATTCACCATTTAATGGGATAGGAATGTGGACATAATAAATGAATCCGATTATGTTCTTGTGAAAGAGCTCTAAGTTCACTGACACAGGGGTTGTCTTATGTGGTGGTGATTTTAGCTCAGCCCGTCTTGTCCATGCAGTTCTGCTCAGAACATTTTCTTCACTGCAGCTCTGTTGTTTCTCTGTCTTGCAGCAACTTCTGCTGATCGTTTTTACCGCATTGACAGATCTCAGGTAAATCTTTATTCAGTTACTGTTTCTATAGATTTTTTTTTTTTAAAGCTATGTTAAAAGCACCTTAAAATGAATTATCTGCCATTCCTCCAGTGTATTCTACAATGTTACTGATGTCCCATGAAAAGTAGAGAAAAAAACTGGGATGTTTTTTAGTCGATATAATTCACATTGCTTCACTGAAGTCTTATATCTGCTGACCATCTGCCCTTCTGTTTACAACTGATCTGATGTACAGATCAGAATTTTCTACATTTGTCAACCTTATCAAGCCTTACTAAGGGCATCTGTGTGACACCAGACTATTTGAGTTTATCTTTTCACCAATGCTTTTAGTCACTAGAGGTCCTGACCCCTCTGTGTGTGACATGGAGTAATTATGGAAATTAAGGTAAACTTACAGGTTGAGAATTAGGAACAGAGATGCATCAGATATTCCTGAGGAAGCCCAAAAGGAGCGTGTAGCTCTATTACATGTTTGAATCTGATATATTCAAACATGCAATATAGATTTGACAATCTGGTTATATTTTCTGAAAGACACTTAGAAAATGTTACAGAGCTTTCGGTGTTGCTGGTTTGTACCAGAACAGGCCAATTAGTAGCTCAGCTTTAAGTGCAAACTGTTTCACATAGTGGTCGTTTGTATGTGGTCCCCTTGAGAAGGGTGTAGATGGTTTCTGAATCACATGAACAGCTGACTGTTTCCTAGCAAAAGCAGCTGGTGGTTTAGTTCAATCAGAAGGAGCCGTGGCTTTAGTTCAGAGGTCCCAGGTTCAGTGTAGTTACCACGAGGCTTCTTTGCTCACAGCTGTATAAATGCTTTCATGAAGTTATATTTTAACATTTGGAAAGCAATGGTAAAGAAGATGCTGCTACAGGTTCAATTGGGCAATGCAACTCTGTTTGGCTTATTCAGCATTTTTTAATACTTGACTCTGTACAAATTGTCATCTTTCTCTCTTCCTCCTTTGTCCTGTGCTTCTGCGGGGAAAAGATCAGTATTGTGTGATGGTCCCAGTGCACAAACGATGGGCAGTTTCCTGCCCATTTGCCTGCATAGACAGGCCTCTTCACGTTCGGTGTTTTTTGAAGGACAATGAAGCTTCTGTGTCAAAACAACAAAGAGGGACTGAGAAGGAGAACTTTGGTAATGGAGATGTGAAACCAGGATGTACAAGCAATAGAGCTCTGGGAGAGTACCCCCAAACAATGGAAAACTGTCAGCCATCAGCGGAGGGCAGATATTAGGTGTTGGGCCTCAGTTAGAAGTGCAAACCTTGGCTTCCTGGGTAGACCTCCAGGTTTCATCTGAATAACATACAGCCACTGAAGAACAGCCTGTGAATGTGAAGGTTTCTGGTTGGGAATCTTGTTTGGCTTGAAATCAGTGAAGCATTTGCTGGTGACTTCAGTGGCATTGGTTTTCGAGTGTGTTTATGTATGTGCACTTAAGTATATACACAGATGTCCCGTGAATGCTCTTCAGAGACCCTGATGTGCACCCGGCTTTCCTGGAGCCATCTGGGTTCTTTGAGAGACCAGTGATGCTTCAGGTTTAATATTCATTCCTTGTGTCACTCCAACAGGAACATTTGCACTTTGTGACAGAAATTTCGCAGGACGAGATTTTTATTCTGGACCCGGAGCTGGTAATGTCACAGCAGGTGGGGACGCCACCAGGAAGGCCTCTGGGTGAGTGGTGCTGGGATCTGACCTTCAGAAGCTGTATTAGAGTAGGGCATTTCTTTTCTGGTCCCCTTTTCTGAAGGACTGAGAGATATGGGAGGGCAGATCTGAGGTGGGGAGCTGGGGACAGGATCAGATGCAGCCATGGTAATGATAGAAGGACAGTGGAATATCATCTACTCCGTTAGGCATCCTGGAGCACACAGAAGGACTAACGGACTTTGACACTTTTCAAACTCCTTACACCCCCAACTGTATCTTTCCCAACAGAAATCTGTATCGATAAGTTACAAAACCCATCTCTCCATGGTTGAGGCTACGATACCACTGTATGAGACCCTGAACCTCTTTGTGCCTAAGAACGATGGTAGAATGTCTCCCTCTCTTCTCATCCTTTGGGAATTCATCTTTAGCAAGAGCCTCATGCTCATAGTGAATTAAGCTAATCAAGTTTGCCAAGGGTTGAAAGATGCTGGGAACCAGTAAGTGTAAGATAGCTTCAAAGTGGACCATGCAAGGTAATTTCTGAGGGGTGAATGCCTTTCTCTTCCTTCTTCCCTCCCTAGAATATCAGATCGGTGGAACCCTGCGGTTCGAAAGAGGATGCTGAGTGACAGTGGCCTTGGCAAGATTTCCCCACACTACGAGGTACCTGACAAACAAAAGGACGCCAGCCAGACACATATGCTGCAGTAAGAGCCCTCTGCATTTCTCTGCTTGATGATGCACTGTCACCATCACCACAGGCAGCTCTCGTTGGCTCCTTTAAGCTTAATGAACTGTGCTGATGTCCTGAACTTAGAGAAGTCATTTCGTTGCTTCCCTTTTGCTCCTCCCATTTCTTCCTTTCTCCATTATTATATGTTTTATTGCTCTGGCATCCTACACTCTTAATAAACCTAGATCCAAGTTTTCAAAAGTAAAAAACATTATTTTGGATGCCTGAAGTTCCAGCTGAGGGAACCTTCATGGCAACTTGTTATGAGAGACTGAAGCTCTCGCCCTTAAGGTATCTCTGATGCAATGTGACAGGGCAGAAACCTCTACAGTTGCTGCTTATTTTCAAAGATGTAGGCAATAGTTTCTATATAATCTTGAAACAGATATATCATTGTCAGTGTAGGGTGACTAAAGATTGGTTTTGTTAATGATAATTCCTTCACGTAAGAGATTTTTACCACTGCAATCCTGTTTGCTATGTTCAGATTTGTGTAAGGTCATCTCTTACTCTATTTTAGAAGTAGTTCTCAGCTTTTCGGTCCTTTCACTTCAGATTTTCAAAACCAGCAGTAGGTCCATAATCCCTACTGAAGCTTAGGTGGGAGGCACCTGTCTGAACGTTGTTGCTGGCTTTGAAAAATTCTAGTGTAAATATTTTTTTTCCCTCCAAAGTATGTAATGTATAATTGTGTACGTCACTTGTATTGTGTATTGTTGTATTGTATCTGAATCCCTATGGTCAGGTTTTAAAAGTTAGTACAGAAAAATTAAAAATAGGGACCATGTGGTGGTTCTTTCACTTTGCCTTTCTGTCTCAGATGTGCATGGAACGGGGCTGTAAGGCGCCTGCTGAGTCTAATTCCAGGGCAGATGCAATGTGGATGAGATGCAATGTGGATGGCAGGCTGCATAGCCATGTGGCTCCAAACTGGAAACTTTCCAGCAAAATGGAAACTGCTGATGTGAGAAGGAGATGTAAGAAAGGGCAATCTGGGTAGCACTGCCAGGAAACACTGACCTGGTTTTCTCCCATTATCCTGAGGGGTTTTGGATCAGGTGTGTTTTGTCCTCTTTGCAGTGCAAAGGATGGTGGATTGTGGTGCAGTTTTCCAGACTGGAATGGCAGGGCCTGAAACATGGGGCTTGCAGAGCTGGGAGAAAAATGATGCCTAGACACTTTTAGGCAGTGTGGAGAGATGGTGACAACATGTGGACTAACTTCTCATTGATGAGGAACAATTTTGCTTACATCAGCATGACTGAAAATGTGTGCTTAGCAGGAACAATTATGTTTGTCTGGGGTAGACTTATTAATTACAAGCAAAGTCAGTAGCACTGCCCATAGTAAAGTGTACCTGTCACTGCCTGCTATAAGGAACTGTTTCCTTTATAGTTTTACTAAACTTTAATTGTTTTGGCTGAAATTTTTCATGGTAAGACTCAGCTTTTGACTGATTCCTTCTCTTTTTCTTAAAGTTAAAACTTTAAGAAAAAGTCTGCTTCTGAAGACAAGATTTGTGGGAAATGCAATGCTTTAAATTACCTTATTTAAAATAAATTAATCCAGTAGTTGTTTCCTGAGACATTTTAGTGTGGGTAGTGGAATGAACTTCACTGGAATGAAATTTTGGAGGCTTGGCATCTCAACAAAGTGACACCATAATATGGAAAGATGCTTTTTGCTGTATTGAGAAAAGCATCCCTGCATGTTGTAGACATCTCAGATTCAAGAGCTTTGCTTGCAAAAGTTTCCATCTGCATTTGCTCACAGAGTAGTTATGCCCCTCTTTACCAAATTCTGGTTGCAGGCCTGTCCACCAGGCTGAAGGAAAGGGGGGCTGTGCTGCTCACCACCTGATCTCCAGTGGCAAGGAGAAAAGGGAAGCAGCAGTCATGGTCAAAGAGAGATGGGTCAGGAAAAGTGTATGATGGAACCAGGAAAAGAGATTGGAAGAGCCAAAGGAATAGAAGCAAAAAGGGAGTATGTGCAGGACCCTGGGGAACAGGGACAGGGGATGAGAGCTAGCAATTAGGAGTACAGAGGACATAGAAATTTGTAGGAAATCAGAATGGGAATAATGAAAAAGAGGAAGAGGACATGGGATACAGATAAGGCAAGAGGTGAGTGAGACATATTAGGGACCTGGGGAAAAGGTCTGTGGTTGTTTCCCTCCAGAATCTGGAGTTCTGGGCTTCTGCAGATTATTCATTATACTGGTGGGCAAGCTCTGAACTGTGTTTAGACACCGCCTCATTTGCTGCCAAGTTTGGCAGTGTATAGTAAATAAGGCAGGGGACTGCAGTGGAGAGAGCAAAGTATTATTACAGTTAAGGCAGTTGAATGCTGCTCTGGAGAACTGGCTTCTTCCCTCACAGAATTTCTGACTGATAGAGATTTAAAACAAACTTTCCACAAATGACCAGTAACAACGGGCTTCTCATTCTATTCATGTCCACTGTGAAGTAGGCTGGGTTTCTGGGAGGCAGTTACAAGGAAACTTTGAAAGAGAGTAAAAGGCTGGAAACTGAGAAATTGGCTTTCTGTGTGCCTCAGGTTGTATTACCAAAATGAATGGAAAGTTTGTGCTTTCCTTCCTTCTGAATCTCAATTTCCCAGCTGCAGAATACAGATAATACTGCAACCTCACCTTAGAGAAGCACAGCGAGGGTAAATTTCATGGTCACACACAAGAAACTCGGATACCATGGGGATAGTCTGTCAGAGATGCTTAGGAGAAAATGATTCATTTTACATTCTGCACACAGTTTTGGTAGTGTGGAATAAATAAATCTTGTGGCTGTGCACTGCATATACAAAATACAAAAGGATATCAAGCAGGCCTCTACTTAAACAGAGGGAAGAGTCCAGTCCAGTAGTGGGTGGCACTGTGATTAAAGCTTGTCAGAATGCTTGAGTGCAACAGGACTGGAGTATTATGGTCAGATGACATGAGCTCTGGCATTTCCAGGCATCGGGATGATTGACATTACAACCTAAAAAAGGTATCTTTCTAATAAGGCACTTGAAAGAAAAACCTAAGAAAGTACCATTAAATTTTGGCAGCTGAAGTAGCTCACATGTTCTTTACAGAGGTTTGTCCCTCCAGAAATTACTTTACAAATAAAACATGTGGAAAGGATTTTACCAAAATTCACAAAAAGGAATATGACAGAGCACAGAGGGGACAATTTATCCTGTACATGGAGTTCTCATGAATCTTTTAAGACTCATTAATGACCAGTGTTTTACATCTAGTGCAAAATACTGTACAGAACTTCCAGCTCAAAGTGCAGTACCCTACAGCCTGTCACTAAGGCAAGTGACAGGAGACTTGCTGTGAGAGAAAGTGTTATCAGTTGACTCACTGGGTCTGTTTTCTCAGTGGTCATTTTTTTCCCAAACAGGGGTTGGGAGTGAGCCTCTTTGATGTGAGGAGCAGATTAGACCACAGTTGGTTGTAGTATGACTGCAGCCTGCTTAGTGTCTCTGGCATTGCTATATGTGTGTGTGTGTATATATATATATGTATATATATAAAACCTCTTTAAGATGAAGTAATTATTTCTGACAAGTAAGGAGTATAGCTAAAAAGACAAGGTATGCAAATAGAGATATCTGTTAAATGATTTCCACCAATAGAGGTAAAAAAGAGAATATGTGATCCAAAAATAATGAAGTTTGGTGCTGCTTTTGATCACAAGCCATTGGGGTAAAGAGTAATTTGAATGTAATGGTTTTGAGGCAAGGGTCATTCTGAGAGAAAATTATTTATGCTTTTGTTTTTAATTAAGTGAGCTTCATGGTAGTTAATTTTCACGTGGTTTTGATCAATAGTTTTTCATGTTTTGCTCCCTTTCTGACAGCTCTTTGATGTGTGATCGATGTGTGGAGTGGACAGGACATGTAACAGCATCTTGATGCAGTTAGCAGGAACTGGGGCAGATCATAGTTTAATAGGAACATCAAATTAGTGTGAAAGATGAATACAAAAAAACCCAGTGGGAAGACAGTTACTTGAACTACCGGTGCTTGATCTTGAAAAAATGCTAAGTATTCTGGGCTGCCTCCACTCAAGCATGTAATTAGACCCTTCCTTTGAACACGAGTGGGCTCATCACCCTGGTTTATCCTATGGTCAGATGGTGCAGTGAGATGGGGATAACCATTCTCTCATAGCCTAGTGTAAACATTCATTGTTGACTATGCACTTCTCTTCCTAGTTATGTGTTTGTCACTCTGTTATGGTAAGACAGCTGGAAAATAAAATAAAAATCACAACAGCATACAAAAATGAAAAGTTGACTGTGCCTTGGAAGAGGTTTAACCTACATCTTTAATTAAAGGAATTAATTTTCCCGTTGTCTGGGGCAGTAACAACCACTCTTCCAGCATCTGTCCAGCTATGATGGTAATGTGTTTCCAAAGCTGCTAGGTGCATTGTCTGAGCTGTGTGCATGGCTCGTGAAGGGTGGGCAAAGGTTGGCTAGGATGCCATCTGGTCCTGTCAGGGAGAGGAAGAAAAAATGCCTGTAGGGGCTGGAAGGTGGCTGCAGCCCTTTACACAAAATAGAAAATAATTATCTAGTAATACCACCCAGGCACTGCTTTATGAGGCAATAATAACAGTTCTAAAGAGGGAAGAAGAAAAAGGCTGAATACTGAGTGTTCTAACTCAGCCACAAGAATCAGATCATTGGCCAGGAAATCAGAGTGACAGTATAGATGTCACAAGATGGTTTGGGGATTTTATAATAAGAGAAATCTTTGTGTGGTACAAGGTCAGAAGAGCACCAGGGGTGCAAGTTTGCATGTAGAAAGAAGGAATGCTCATCTAGTGAAAGCTAAGGAAATACAAAGCAGTGACTCTTAGGACTTGAACATGCTAGGCAGGAGCTGCCTAGTGATAGTGAACCTTTAATTGCGAAGGTTAGTGAAGACTTGAAACATTCAAGTGTTTCCCTAAAACCTTGC